CTATCCATGAGCAAGGAATATCTTTCCATTTCTGAAATTTTCTTTGATCTCTTTTTTTTCAGAGTACTGTCATTTTCACTGTATAGATCTTTTACTTCTTTTGTTAGGTTGATTTCCTAAGTGTTTTGATTTTTTTTTAGATGCTATTATGAAAGCTGAGGTTTCCCTAATTTCTCTCTCAGTCTGTTTGTGGTTTGTGTACAGGAATGCTATTGATTTTTGCATGTTGACTTTGTATCCAGCTACATTATGAATTTATTTATTCTAGGAGGCTTTTGGTGGAGATTTTGGGGTCTTCTATGTAGAGTATCATGTCATCTGTGAATAATGATTATTTCGCTTCTTCCTTTTCTATCCTTATTCCTTTTATTTCTCTCTCTTGTCTAATTGCTCTGGCTAGTGCTTCCGGAACTATGTTGAATAGGAATGGTGACAGGACAATGGATATCTTTGTTTTGTTCCTGATTTTAAAGTGAAAACTTTCAGTTTTTGTACATTTAGGATGATGTTGGCCATTGGTTTGTCATAGCTAGCTTTTATCAGAGTGAAGTAAAGACTATTCCATTTTCTGTAGGGTTTTTATCATGAATGAGTGTTGGACTTTATTGAAAGCTTTTCTGCATCTATTGAGATGATCATGTGATTTTTGCCTTTGGCTCTATTGATATGGTGTATTACATTAATTGATTTTCATATATTAAAACCATCTCTGCATTCCTGGGATGAATCCCACTTGGTCATGATGTGTCATCTTCTTGATGATTTGCTGCATTCTATTTGCTAGTTTTTATTGAGAATTTTTGCATCCATATTCCTTAGAAATTGCCTTGCACTTCTCTTTTTTGGTTGTACCTTTCACTGGTTTTGCTATCAGTGTAATACTTGCCTCCAGGAATAATTTGGGGAGAATTCCTTCCCTTTCGATTTCATTAAAGAGTTTGAGAAGAATTGGTGTTAAATTTTCTCTAAATTTCTTGTAGAATTCAGCTGTGAATTCATCAGGACCTCGGCTTTCCTTTGTTGGTAAATTTTTTATTACATTTTCAATTTCACTGCCTGTTACTGTGTTTTCATGATTTTTATATCTTGTTGGTTCAGCTTTGGTCATTCATATGTACCTAGGAATCTCTCCATTTCTTCTGTATTTTCCATCGTATGTGAGTAAATATTTTCAAAGTAGGTACTGATCTTCTGAATTTCTGTAGGATCTGTAGTGATTTCATTCCTTTCATTTCTTATTGCATGACTTTCAGTTTTCTCTTTCTTATTTTTGATAAGGTTGGCTAGGGGTTTATCAATTTTTATTTGTTCTTTCAAAGAACCAACTCTTTGATTCATTAATTCTTTGTATTGTTTTCTTAGTCTCCATTGCATGAATTTCTACTCTGATTTTTATAATTTTCTCCCTTCTTTGGGCTTTGGGCTTGACTTGCTCTTCTTTTTCTGTACATTGATGGTTATAACTGTTGTGTATTGGCTTATCTTTGTTATGTTATTTTCCTGCTGTTGATTCCTCCCTTTTCCTTCTGTTTAGTTGCTTACTCTGCTTGGTGGTGTTTTCCTATTGTTGTTCTTGAAATTGTGATTGTTTTTATTTCTTTCTAAAATATCTTCTAGTACTCTTTGTAGGGTTGGTTTGGCTCCCATTGATTTCTTTGATTGCTCTTTATCATAGAAATATTTCATTTTTCCATTAATTTTGAAGGATAGTTTTGCAGGGTACATCAATTTGTGTTGCAAGTGTTTTCTTTCAGAGCCTGAAATACTTTACTCCAAGCTCTTCTTGACTTGATGGTTTGTGTTGAGAAATCTGCAGTGATTGTGCTGGGCTTTCCTTTGTAGGTGATCTGTTTCTTTTCTTTAACAGCTTTTAATATTCTGTTCTTTTGCTGAATATCTGGGATCTTGATTAATATATATCTGGATGTAGATTTATTTTGGTTATAGTTAATTGGAGTTCTATATGCCTCACTTGTCTGTATGTCCAATTCTTTTTCCATCCTTGGGAAATTTTCTTCAATTACTTCTACAAATAGTCTTTTTATGTCATTTGTGTTGATGCCTGTTGGCACCTATTAATCTTACTTTTTTTTTTTTACTTGTAGCTGTTGAATTGTTATTTCCTGGTTCCTTGTTATTTGTAAGAGATCCTTCTTTTCATGATTGTTAGCTGCAATGCTGTCTTCAAGGTCTGAAAGTCTGTCTTCAGCTTCATTTGAGCAATTTTTCCAACTTTTGATGGAATTTTTAATTTCCTGGATATCTGTTTGAATCTGTTTCATGCATTCTAATTCTTTCCTATATTGTTCATTCAATGTTGCCATCATTTTTCTATGCTCCTCTATTTTCTTATCTATGTCTTCCTTAAATGTGCAGAGCAATTCTGTCATTATTGTTGTCATTTCTTTTTTTACCTGAGAGATTATTTATGATCTGATGTCCTCTGTAGCCTGATGAGTTGTTTTTTTCCTTCAGCTGCTATCATTTCAGAAATTTCAGGTGTATGAATTCCAAGCTCTTCTCTGTCAATGTCTCCTGCACTTGTTCTGGGTGAGGTGGAGGTCTGAGATTGCATTTTCCTCCTTTGTTTTGTCATTTCTGAAGATCCAGAGGTTCCTTGGAGCTCAGCCTCACTCCCACAATAGTATGAGAGTGGCAGGGCATGGGCCTAAAGGTCCCCAGTGCTGAGTGTGCCTCCCAGGATGGTGTGTGGGGGTGGGGTGGGGTCACTGGTGCTCCCGAAGCTTTCTGGGATCAGTTGATTCCCACACCAGTGGGCGAGGTGTGAGTGCACAGTCACCACGGCTTCCAAAGCTGTCCAGAGCTCACCTTGTCTCCCACACAGGGTTTGCAAAGCTCTCTGAAGTTCAGGTCCACTTCCTTGAGTGTGCAAGTGTGGGTAGGTCATAATCACCTAGTTTTCTGAAGCTGTCTGGGGTTCAACCTGGCTTCCAGGAGGATGTGGGGGTGGGCAGGTTCTGGTCACCAAGGCTTCTGAATCTGTCTGGGACCCAGCCTGGTTTCATGCCAGTGGGGGAGGGGTGAGGATGCAGTCACCCAGGCTGCTGAAGCTATCCAGGGTTGAGCTCAGCTCCTGTGAGGGTGCTGGGGGGGATGGGGCATGGCCACCAAGACTGTCTGGGGCTCAGGCTGGCTAGCATGGTGTGGGGGAGGAGCCGAGGCAGCCTACTGAGGTTCCTGAAGCTGAGATTCAGCCTGGCTTCCAGGTGCAGGGGTGATTGGGTTGTGGTCACAGAGGCTCCAGATGCTTCCTGCGACCCATCCCAGTTCCCACGCTGGTGGGGGAGAGGTGAGAGCACAGTCACCAATGCTGTTGAAGCTGTCCAGGGTTCAGCTCAGCTCCTATGAAGGTGTGGCTGGGCATCCCGCTTTTGTTTTTATTCTTGATTTTTTCTTGAATTAAGCTAAACCAAAGACTCAAGAGGAATAGGGGAAAATTTGATGTACATATAACTTTACTGAAATATTTTCAGGAATACTGAAGCACCTTAAAAGAATTTGATATTTTTTGAACAGAAAGTCTCAGTTGAACTTTCAGTTTTTGAAGTTATGTACTTTAACAACTATCTTGCTTGGAAAAAATACTGAAACTTGCTCATTCTGAATTTTAAATGTGTTGAAGATTGAGTTCATTAGTCCTGGTGTTCAGAAGTGGCGGAAGCCAGATTTGAGCCTGAGTCTTCCACCTTTAAGTCCATAATTCAGTTGCAAATATTCTTGGTCAGGATAAGTAAGACTTTATTGTGATGGTAGTACATAGGTATTTCAAGACTGAATTATGTTCTAGTTAGTGAAGGTTTTATTCCCTTTTGAAATTTGTAGGGTGATGGTGATGTCTATGTAGGTTTCTTTTAGAATTACCTAATTCGTTATCTTAAATCTTTGATCATTTCTTCAGAATAATTTTTGGAAATGATGACTTTGACTTTTCTCCAAAGAGTTACAGTGAATGGTTGCATGGATTTGAAAAGAAATCAAAAGAATGTGAAAACTGGAACTTCAGGTTCAGAGGAAGTTAAGGTTAGTTCAAGAAGTGAACTGGTCTGTACTTTAATGGGAGCTGAGGAAAAGCAGGTCAGAATTTGTTTTCATATGTTCTAGAGAGATGAAGAATCTGTTTTGAGGAGGACGCTATTTTGAGAAAAGTATAAGGAAGTGATCATTTTGTGTACATTTTAGTGTCTTCTTTGCATTTGATTTATGTACAAAGCTAATATTTTTTCTCCAATTCTATATCTTACTAGATTTCTAAAACTGAATATTTAACTCTCACTTCCTCTCTGGTTAGCCTAAGTTTTCTTTTTTAATTTTTTATTTCTTTATTAGTACATATTTGCAGCGCATGGAGTTTGCAGTCATCTTGGGGAGTGACTACGTGTACCTACCACCACTCAGGTTTTTTGCCCCTCCCCCAATTATTTTCTCCCATTTTTCATTCAGAAGTATAAAATGCTCCATGAATTTGCTGCCATCCTTGCACAGAGGCGATGCTAATCTTTGCTATATCATTTCCATTTTAGTATATGTGCTGCTAGAGGGAGCACTAGCCTAAGTTTAAAAAAAGTAAAGTCATTGAGGTAGGTAGGTAGATTGTCATCAGTTTGCTCAAGTTGCCCCAAATCAGTAAGTAAAGAGGCTGCCTGGGTTTTTATCTTTGATGTCTGAAACTGAAAAGATTCCTTATTGTTATTCTCTTCTGTATCTTAAGTGGCAGTAGGCAAATGCATTGTGCGGTATAGGCATTGTAACCTTCACATGTGAGTCTGTATAATGGTTGATACATTGTGTCAACTTGAGAATTGAGAAGTTTAGATGCTTAACTAAGCAGTTCAGCAGGGGGCCAGGGTTCTTCCTTGGTAAAGACCCTGAGCCTGTGCAAGAGGAGGGCACAGAGATCATGTGGACCAGGAGCCTACTTACAGTATAAGGGAGGAAAAGAGGCTGCTCTCCCCTCCTTTTGCTCTTGCTGTCTTCTGCAGGCTTGAAGTGTTGCCACTCTGCCATGCTACCCTGCGTTGAAGCCAGCTGATTACAGACTGAAACTCCACAAACTGTGAGCTAAATAAATCTTTCCTGCCTTAATTTTAGGCATTAGGTATTTTGTCCCAGCACAAGAGAAAAGTAACCAAGACAGTCTTTGATTTTACCATCTGGCTAAGGTGAAACAAGCTGGTTTATTATAAAATTATACAGTATAGTTTGTAGTGAGCAGTTTTATTAGTGGCCATCAAATATGACCAATGAAGTCATTGTACTTAATTGCCACCTAGTGTTTTGTTATAAGCCATTTGAAACCATTTTTGGAACATAAAACTAAGTCCTGAAATAAAGTTGAAGCACAGAACTTACTGGTAAGACTCAGAGAATTTTTTTTTTTGTATTCTTTACAGATTTTAGAGTTTAAGTTGAGAGAAGCAGATGAAGACTGTTACAGCTGGAGTGTGGTACATATAAATCAGTCCTTGCAGAAACAGTAGGAAATTATTTTTAATCTACATTGTATTATTAAACTATTAACTTCTCCTTCACCACCTAGTCTATGTTGGTATTATACCATGAATTCTTGAAAACTATCTTTGTCTGTAGGAAGGAATTTTACAGCGGCTACAGAAAAGTGTGGAGGAAGAGGAAAATAAATGGAGAGTTCAGGTCGATGAATCACAAAAGACAATTAAGCAGGTACTTAGAAAAGAACCACTCAGAGCTGCAGTTCTCAGAGCTGGGCTCTGGGCCGCAGCATCGGGTCACACACTTCTGTGGGAAGTGCAGGTTCTCAGTCCCCAGACTTCCTGGGTCTGAGATGCTGAGGCGAGGGCAGAGTCCTTGTGTTCATAGCCCGCTTCGTGATTCTGATGCCATCCGCACTACAAGCGGTTTAGAGAGTGACAGAAGAGGGGCAACAGGGAAAGGAAAGTGATTTGAAAGAGAGTTTCTATGCCATAATATATGGTGAAGAATATTGGGTTTGGAGTTAGTTTAAAATATTGATAATTAAGGCATTATATATTGTATTCAAGAAAAAGGTAATCATTTTGTGAGATCTAAATATTACTTTGCAGTCCTCATTTTTCTGTTTTGCTTGGATGTGGTAGAGTGTGGCGTATGCTACTCATCTATCTTCTTATGCCAGCTATATGCAGCCCTTAGAGTTACTGGTGACACTCTTACTGCATTTGGGGGTTAAGTAAAACTGATGATTCTTGTTGTTAAGGTCTTTAAAAATTCAGTATGATTCTATTTTTTTAATTTTTTAATTTTTTTGTTTTTTTCTGGTACCGGGAATTGAACTCACAACCTTGAGTTTGCCAGGCAGGCGCTGTGCTGCTCAGCTAAATCCCCAGCCCCTCAGTATGATTTTAAGGGAGATGTATTTCAGACCCTGTGAACTGTCTTTTATTTTTATTTATTTTTATTTTTATTTTTTTATTTTTTGGTAGCAGGGATCGAACTCGGGACCTTGCGCTTGCCAGACAGGTGCTTATGCCACTGCGCTATATCCCTGGTCCTGAACTGTCTTTTAATTAATTGAATGTTCTAGATAGTAAAAATCTATAGCCTAGCCTACCTTTTACTCTCTTTTTAAAAAATGTTATAATTAAAATACTAAAAAGGAAATTTGTTACTTATATGCATTTGTTGTAATATATATTTTATATTCCGCTCAAGACAGTTCCTCTTTACTCAAAAGAGCATTGAAAAATCAACCAACCAACCAACCAAACAAACAAACAAACAAAAATAAATAAATAATGGTGGGCTGCCGGTTGGACACACCTGTCTATCTCCTCTATTTTTACTTTGTCTTAAAATAATTTTTAGAAGCTTTTGTCAATTACATCTTCAGAGCAAGAGTTAGAGCATTTAACAACAGAAAATAGAGATATTGAAAACGTATGCTTCTCCTCTTGGAATCTTTGAACTTATTTTTGGCATTATGGGTTGCCCAAAGATTGGGTTTTTGAGATTACTTTTATCTAATGATGTGGTTATGCTCTTAATATGTTGTATAGTTATGTGAGTTGATCCGGTTTTATATTCCTAAGTATCCTAACTTTGCATTGTGAGGAGACACCCTGAAAGGAAATCTTGCATGTGTTGACTCTTCCTTTTTTGTTCCATTACCAGCTGAGAAGAGAACGACAGCATTTGGAAATGGAACTAGAGAAGGCAGAAATGGAACAATCTACCTATGTTACAGAAGTCAGAGAGGTACTTTTTTATGACAAAAATTCGGGCTGTATTCCGCAAGAGACCAAAGAGAACAGACAAAGTTTTTGATTTAGACCAGTCACCTCTCATCCCGACTTGCAAGTCTGGGAAGTGGGCGTGGACCTATCTTTGTTTCCAGGTTATATACATTTTTGGTTTCCATGGTAACAGAAAGGAATGTTGTAGCCCTGGCCACATGTTGACTGATTGAGTTGTAAAGATTCCTTATCTGAAGCTATCATAGTTAACTCTTGTTTTCTAGGTTGAAGTTATGTACTTTTCATTCTAAGGCAGTAGTTCAATCCAGCTTCTTATTTTCTACTTTTCCTGTAAACTATAAAAAAACAGGGCTTGTAAAGTTCTTTATCAACATATTATTTAGTACATTGCAATCCAGAAGGTACAGACTTAGAGGTTAGTTAAATGTCTTAAGACACGATTCCCTGCCTTCCAATTCTTGAATTTGCTAGAAATTTATGCTTACTGTTGACAGACTTAGCTGTGAGATGCTTATGGCTGTCTTGTCCCCTATTTCAAACATATATCACATCTTGTAATGAGAGTTGTTATAACACAGGATTAGATTTTTTTTTTTTATTAAAAATACTGGAACATACTGTATGTTAGGGAAATTATAGTAACTTCTTTCCTTACCCAAATTACCCTGCCCAGCTTGGAATTTTCTTATTAGCACTTTACATGTACCAAGGAAAATTTTTAATTCATTCATTTGTGGCGGTCCTTCTGGGTTACGGCAGTGATTCATGAGATCAGCATATTATGGGAAATACATACAGAGCACTTAAATTGGTCTCCTGTCAAGAAGTAGAGCAGCAAAAAACAACAACAAACAGCAAAGAGAACATTGGGCTAAATGCAGATGCAGCTATAATCCTGTGTATCTTATGCAAGGTCGAGCCCCAAAGTTAAAAAGCAAAATGTCCAACGCCTAGTTAGAGAAGATTTTTTAAAAACACATTATAGGTTTGTAAGGACTTATAATAGTGGTATATCATAGTCCTCATTTATGCAGTGTGTAGCAAATGTCTACATAAAACTAATTTTATACTGCAGTAGACATGAGTTCCACTAAAGCATTGGTAAGACAAGTATTTTATTTAAAAAATAAAGGTGTGTGTAGTGTGTGGGTGGGAGGGCTGGCTGGATGCACTCGGTATTTTGAAGGCAATGTAGTGTGTTTCTCTTATGTCTAATTAGAGCAGTTGTCAGAGAAGAAGCAGTGGGATTTCTACAGCATTATAACTGTTAATGAAGTGGTTATTGAGAGTTTATGCTTAAGACATTTCTTGTTGGTGTAGTTTAGATCAGTATGGTCTTGCACTACTATTTTTAATGAACTCTATATTTTTTACTTTGAAGAGAAAAGAACAAAAACAAAATAACAAAAACAAAGACAAAAACAAAACAACACAGAACAATAAAAAGATACAGATTTTCAAATCAAGATGATAGCAAATTAGCAATGGTTGTTGTAGTACATATTGTTATCTTCAAAGTAGTTGCTCAGATAACCAGATGTAAGACTGATCAAACAACTAAACATTAACTGTTCCCTTCAATAAACCAAAAGAAATTAGTAGTACAATTATCTTGGCTCTTATATATATATTTTTTTCCCTTTTTTCTTTCTTTCCTCCTTTCCCTCATCCCAATTGTTCTTTCCTTTTGAGCAGTTTCTTTCCCTTTCACAATATCTATAGTACCTTTCAGATTTTATTTACTCTTTCAGGTTCTTACATTAGGGAGACAATACCATTTTTACACATGCCAGTCCAATTTATTTCACTTATGAGTATGGTCTCTAATTGCATCCATTTACCTATAAAAGCTTTGAGTTTACCTTTTTTATAGCTGAATAATACTCCATTGAATAAAAATACCACATTTTTTTTATCCATTCCTCAGTTGATGGGCATTTGGGTTATTTTCAAGATTTAGCTATTACAAATTGTGTTGTTATAAACATAGATGTGCATATATCGCTGTGGTATGATGTTTTCACTTGTTCTGGAAACGTACCCAGAAAGGGAATAGTTAGGTTGAATGGGACTTCTAATCCTAGTTTTTTTTTTTTTTTTTTTTTTTTTTAAATAAAGTCTTTATAGGACAGTCAACATTTAGCTTATTTCCTCTTACTGGATTTGTAATCTTCTGTTCAATGTCTTTAAAATATTATACAAATGAGTCTTTTTAATTGAGCTATAAAGATTAAGGCCTTTAAAAATAATTAGTGAAATTTCTATTTGCCTTTTAGTTTGGAATAACTTCAATAAGTCCTTTTTTTTTTGTTTTGTTTTTTCTCCGGTACCGGGAACCGAACTCACGACCTTGCGCTTGCCAGGCAGGCGCTTTTGCCGCTGAGCTAAATCCCCAGCCCCTTCAATAAGTCCTTTATGGAGAGTGATTCTGATATGACAAGTGAGTCCACTGAGAAAGGCACTCACAAGAAAACTGAAAAGGCATGAGTGAACAAAGCTTTGCTGCAGCCGGCTGATAGACAATCTCTAACCAGGAGCCAGAGAAGATGTCCACATTGAGTTACCCGTAATTACAAAAGATTTACTACTTGCCCTTGAGATCTCTCTTGTTACATTTGAAAAGAGACAGAAAAGAAAAAGAAAAGACATTCCGTTCAGGTCCCCAAGGTCAGGCTGCACATATAGCCCACCGCATGCCGGTGTCATGCTGCATAAGCAGCCTACCACGTCTTTTTTCAGAGCCAGGACTGACCCCAGAGTCAGAACCATCACAGCTGGCAGCTCAGCCCTTTTACCCCGGAGTTGGA